TACCACTTCAACCGTTTCACTTGGAGTCAACTTGTGTTGCAATTATGACTATTTTATTTTCTGTTTGTTTACTTTTCATCGAAAACTTGTCGTTGTTGCCATTAAATCGAACAGATTCGATAATCGTTAATCGGTAATATTTATTGAACGACATTCAATTTGTTAAATTACCGGCTCATCGAGCTCACATTTAAATTGATATGCAATATAAATTATATTAATGACTATTTCATGACAATCAATTGTGCCACGTAATTTTTTCGTCAGCTTAAACAAATGTGTTTGCCATTCTCTCTCGGGATTTTCTTAAAATCCAACAACGCATTGTTCCTTGTATGATGATACATTCAAATTATTCAACAAAATTACTTGGAAAAATTGCACCGCAAGCCGAACATATTTTTTTTGTCAACAAACTTGATGGGTAGTGTTTTTTTATTTTCAGCTGAACGGAGAAACCAATTATGTGGAAATTTTTGTGGAATCATAAAAGCAACATATATAAGCATTACTTAAATTTATGTATTTTTCAATTGATGCATTGATGAAAATTAATGCTGATCTGATCGGCATAATGTTCTTTTTATGACAGAATAAAAAAAAAAACCTCTTTGCACTAGGTTAATGTAGTGTGACGCTATGTAAATATCGCCGTCCAAAAGTACTGATACTCGTATCAATTCGCATGACGCTCAGAAGCTTGAAGAAAATCAAAAAATTATGTTTAACAGCAATGAATACATGAAAAAAAGTGAAATACTGCGTCACAGTTTCGAATTTATTTTCAAGCTTAATTTTTTTCCATTTTCCGAAAACGAAGCTGTGACGCACCATTGCGATTTATAGTGTATATAACATGATGTGACTATAAATTCAAGATTTCAAAATTGGTGGGGAGCGTCACTTATAAAACCTTCCGAACCCCATAATCAATAGTTTATTTGCCACATTTCATGCAAACAATAAGAGTCGCATCGTCGCTTTGTTACATTGAAAAATTATTATAGAATACCAAACCTAAGCAAAAGTGAAATAAAATGAATGGAAAGGAAAACAAATAAGTCCAACAATGTAAAAAGCAAACAACAGCACAATTTTTTTCTTCTACGCAATAAACAAACATTTTATTTTCCGTTTCTTCGACTCATTTGATGTCGTATGAATTGATCGAATAAAACCGCAATATGAAAATGAAAATGAACAGACTCGTATAAAACGAAGTAGATTCCATAGTGAAAAAATGATAGTAGATAGAAGTGGAATGCCATACGTACTCATGAAAAACAATGAGAACTATCCGTTGTAGGGGGCAAGCAGCAAATATGGACAAAACTAATAATAACAAACAGCATATTTTGACAATACTGTGAGAAATTCAATTGCCATTGCTTGTTAAAATGATGCAAACGGGCCATGATGTGCTTGAAATGATAACATCAAACACAAAAATAAAAAGTATACAAACTACAAATGGTGCGAAGCAATGCAGCCAGTAAGTTGGAGTAAAAAATATAAACAAAAAAGAGCAAAACAATATATTCTCTATAGGAAAGATGTAATAACATTCAAAATGAATAAAACATTATAATACGGATTTTATCATAAATATGAGTAAATTTATACAAACGTTTCAAATTTTATTGTAATATGAGGTTAATTGAAGATTCCACCAAAGTAACCAACAATCTGGCGGTGAGTATACTTCATTTATCTGGATGAGAGCACATCCTCGACAATGTATTTTCTATTTTCATAAAGTTGGATTTTTCTTTGATGTAAAGATCATCGTTTAAAACATGCAACAAATAAAAGTTCGATGTCACAGAAATTACGTAACAAACGCAAGTTGAATGAATGCCATCGAGTAAACTTTCAAAATGTTCTGCCTGTCATATATGATGCTATACAATTTTAAGTGAAGCTAATATACAACGATATTCCAATGATAGAGGCAACATTTGAAATGCGAAACATCTCCGTGACACGTATGTAGAACCATAAACATTTGCTATACGTAGTGTACTCGAATTTGTCTTCATGGAATGGGAAAATCAGTGCTTGAATCATATGACGAATGGTTAAAAAGTAATATTGATACGCACAGGTGTATGTGTGTATGTGTATGTGTATGTGATGAAGTGAATCGCCGAATGCAGATTGTGAGTGGAGTCAGTTGCTATGTGCTCCGCATATGAAATTCCAAAAGTTCTAAGTGAAAAAGAAGTGGATTCGGGGCGCGTTATGAATATACAGCTACTTATCCTGGAATCTGTATTCATGAATATTGTGAAATACGAAATGCCTGTTTTCCTCCATTCACTTTTTATTTGCGCTGTTGTGCTCTGGTATACGTTTCACGTCAACAGCGGCAAGCGAAAAAGAAAAATCATCCTACACATGAGTTGACAGAAATTTTCTTTTTTTCTTCAACATGTGTGTGTGCTTTTCAGATTTCCCAAGCGCTTTTCAAACGTATAATGATGTGTGATTTTGCCATTCATTCAAATCACTTTTTTTTTTCCTTTTTGAAAAAACTTTTGTTGTAGCTTTTTTTTGCCGCGTTTCTTGAGCCAAAGAAAAATTGCTTCATTGAGAAGCGTATAAAAGGAAAAAGAAACCTGTTCGTAATGCACAGACGGAAACTTATTGTTATGCTTGGAAAAATATTCATTGAAATCTAGACAACTGACAGAGCAACCATCGTCGTCTCCATTTAACTATAATAGTTGGCCGCATTAGTTTCATAATGGTTCATTTGATGATAATCAAATAAAATTACTTTATTGAATTGTAATTATGTGTGCATTACAATGATTGAAAACGTATCCATATTGGCCAGCTGCTTGCTATTATATTTTTGGCACGAGACCATTCTCTCGTTTTTCATTCGCAAAAATTAAGTCTCTTCCTCACCAATTCCCCAATTTTCAAGCTATATTCATACAGCACTGCATATATAATATTGCTGACAGTTCAAAAGTTGTGCCAAGTGATTCCTGTTTGCATCTGGACATAAAAGAGACTATATGTACCATCAATCTTCTGGCCGAACAACAGATTTGATTTTTCTATGTTGTATTACGATTTTTTGGCATCGCAGTTATAGCTGCTTTGTGATTCGGTACATAAACATATTCCACTGAGAAATGACCTAATTTGTAGCGATGTCAGACAAAAATTGGAACATTTTCACGAACCATTATTTATTATTTGTGTCTCGATAAAGATGTCCATAATTTTGATTGATATTTTAGTTGGAAAATTGTGTTTTCTATTCAATGGATCCGCAAAACATGTGATATAAACTAATGGAAAAAAGTCATTGACAATTTCGTGTCATTTAGCTGATGAATGGCTATGCAAATCCATCTTTCTGTTGCGTATTTGAAAAGCCATGATTAGATTTATTTCGGTTTCGTAAATGTCAGTTTTCGGTGAACTATGGAAATGAAAAGATCTCGCACCTGACAGCGCACAATTCAAATTCCAATGCACTGGAATTTATGCCAAACAATTTATGCGTACTGTAATAGCTGTTGTGTATCGATTCGTCGAAGTAAAAAATAAAATAAAACTTTTCTCTCGTCAAAATCTCTTTTGTTCGCTGCCGAGTTCATCAGCGATGTAAAGTTTTTTTTTCATGTACTTATGTTTCATGTAAAAACGTGAAAATTTGGTAAACTCATTTCAGTTGCGCCTCTTGGCTTCTTCTCGCAAAAAGTCGCCGACACATAAAAATTCACATGCAAAGTCAGCAAATCGCTAAGCCAGAAAGCGAAGCTACTGAACATAAAACCAAAGTTTTTATGTGTACTGATCCTGGACGTTTACCAACAATGTGAAACATTTTTTACATGCCGTCGAATGATAAAAGAAAAACAAAAAAAAAAACAGCGCAACAAACGAAAATAATGAGAAGGTTTGCTAACGAAAAACGCGCCTACTTAATCACTTGATAATCAGCATAAATCATAAACTTCATGATGTAACAAAAAAAGGGAAAAAAAGAAAACGATGACATATTTTGTAATAATGTATAAAAGCATTTTTGTTGTGCTTGTGAATGGGTGTATAATATTTTATTCGTTCGATTTTTTATGGCATCCGACGATAGTAGTATACTTTCGTTTTATTGAGTTTTATCAAAATATTCCCCATGTTACGAATTTAGCGTTGGAATTTTATTGACGGTCATTTAATTCGCATTGACCATGGGTACGGAAGACAATAAAACTATATATTTATGAACGTGAACACGATCAAAAGTAGTTGAAAAGACCGTAAAGTTGATAGCATCCCCAACAAATGTGAAGTCTTGTGCACCGGAATCGAATTTCTTTTTTATAATGTATTTAATCTGCAGGATCTTAAGATGGAATCGAAGGAATAATTAAAGTCAGTGTGTTTATTGTGTATTTTGCATTGGATCAAATTTAATGGTTTATCATCACATTGAATATGAAGTTACTGATGAACATCGTGCTCAGAAAGTTTGAAGAGAAGAAAACATCGCAATCGATTCCGATTTAAGATCAAAAAGTCAGCGAAAATTAAGAAGTTATATTTTATCAAGAAAAAAAAAACACAAGCAATACACTTTTTAGTAGAACCTTGAAAAATCTTGATATGAAGCATTGAAGAGAACATGCATTGTGTCAGAGAACGATGCGATCTCCAAAAAAATTAAATTTAGATTTGTCTGGGTTTTTTGGACGAGAAATATTCTTTCTTTAACGACAAAGTGAAGACCTTTGTTTACTCACCAATTACTGAGATAGAGGTTTACAATAGATAGACCTCCCACAAAATCATTGACGAACCCACCAAAGGCAATCTGTTTGCTTTGATAAGAATCACATTGAATAAAATAGTTGCATTTTAAGTGAAATTAACGATGTTTATCCTTTATTATTGAAACAAAATATGAACTGGCTTTTACAAATGAGTAAAATTGATTCATAGAATCTTCCATGAATGATTTTATTGAAACACTTGACCCTTTGAAAAAAAGATTTTATGCACCAACTAAATCTAAATATTTTAAAATTGTCCATTGACCATATCAATAATCATTTTGAATTTCATAAAAATCACAAGCTCTCATTTTCTTTAGTGAATAATTCATCATATGGAATTGTGGAGAAGACGTTGATTAAAATGTTAGCAGCAATTTGTGAGAATGATGAAAATACGGACTCATTTATTCCAGACCATACTCTTTCCCAATTTCTGTTTAAGAATGAATTGGTAGTGCTGCCACCATACAAATTATCTAAATTCAAAATCAATTCTGAAATTGTGAATGACATTTCAACATCTTCTGGCTGTAAGAAAGTTTCTCCATTCTTTGTAATTGATTTTCCATTAAATCGAACCACGAAATCCGGATTCACTAGAAAGTAAACACATTTCATTTGATTAAATTGAATTGATTTCACTTCAATTTGATTTGAAACTTACAGACAGTGATATTGCTATCTCCAATACCTTGGATAGGTACAAATAACACAGAACCTTTGACAGAATATGGTCCCATCAACTGGATCTGAGGACCTTTCAGTTGGATTTCGTATTTTCCATCAATTGTATCATTGAATCCACTATTGGCAAGAAAATGAAAAAAAAAATCATAAAAATGTTCACTTTAGATGAATCAATTATGGGCAAACATTTTCAATTTACTCAATTTTGTAAAATGTAAAATCACGAAATCCAGAAATCGTATTGTTTGAGAATTCCAAAAGAACGTCAACAACACTCGATGTCCCTTTTTCGATATGAATGTGTGGAATTTCCAGTGGGTCCAACGATAAGAGATTTATGTTACTTTCACCTGTTTTGACCAATGATAATTGAAAGTTTCGTTTTCAAGTGCTCAAATAAAAATATATTTTAATAAAATGAATATAAATTATACCCATTGGATATTCTCTCAACATCTTGTTAGCTGATTGAACGATGCATTCACCATCACCTTTTCGGCATTTTGTTACATCAGCCGCTGATTTTTTTGTTGTTGAAAGATCGAATATCTTAATTAAAATTAAAAAATAGTTCAAAAAATTAATCAACACTCACGAAATTGCACCGCAATAGTGTTTCCGCTCAATATCAATGTGCACACTGTTAGTATGATCTTCATGGTATAATTCACAAACTGTCAACTATTTATCAAATAATAAGTAAACAACTTTGCTTTGATATCAAAATTATTAAATTAAATCGTTAATGATGTTTGATGCGTTTCAGGTCTCTCAACCAACTGATCGAATTTCCCAACTCAAATTCGTTTTTAAATATTATTTGAAGAAAAGTTACAAAACCAATATGCTATGGGGTTTTTTCAGTACAGCTGACTGTTCTCGTTGTATAACGCAGACTTGAACTGCAAGGTTTGTGTGTTTCTCTCTTCAATCAGTGTTTGACAAGGTTATTTAATAATTACTATAAGAGAGTTCATTGTGTCAAAAAATATATGCCCGCAGATTGCGTATGATTGGTTTGAACCAGTTAAGTTAGGCCCCATTAGAAAATGAGGTTTATTGCACGAGAGATGTTATTTCTCAAATACAAACATGCAGATTCCCACATCAATACCAAACTGGATTTTGCATTAAAAATGCACTAATATAACTGAAAAAACTCTTTTCAATTTATTTGGGTCATAACAGTCATAAGTGTCTGATATTAGATATGATTACTCATCATATTAAAATAACAGAATTTAATTTTCTCTAGTGAATGGTTCATCATACATATATAACGGTTGAATATATGGCGTTCTTCGAAATATTTCAAAATTTCATTCATAAATGCAATTAAGAGCATTTTCAACAAATTATCAAGTCATACCTTTGGCATAAGTTACCATCATTTTGTTAGCTAATTGAACGATGCATTCGTCATCACCTTTACGGCATTTCGTTACAACTGTAGCTGATTTTTTTGTTGATGAAATGAGATGATTAAAATTTAGAATAAAAAACTCACGAAATTTCACTGCAAAAGTACTCAATATCAAAGTACGTTAAGTCAAAACTTGTTATCTTAAGTTATAATTAAGTTAAAAATTGTTTGAAATTCTTACATTTTTCAGAAAATTCAGAAATTTCTCAATTTAAACCAGTTTTTATATGTTAAATTGAAGAGAGTTACAACAAAAAATTAAATTATGAGGCATACTTACATTATTTTACACAGCATCATAGTACCTTTCAAAAGATATACCCGCAGTTGATTGCGTATGACATTTAAACACATATAAACGCTTGAGAATAGATTCTGAACTTTATTTAGATACGTGGAGAAGTGACTTTAAAAATTTGTCGCTATACTGAAAAGTGTATAAATATTTCTTCAGAAGCTCTTATTATAATTGTCAGGAACCGCTTAAAATTTCGTTTTACTGAACAGCACAAACAATAATAGCCAATACATAAATGGATAGAAGCAGTGCTTGGGCAAGTGCGCTCCTTATGAGTGACGATTTTATGCTCTGGACAATAAAATTGCGTCAGAGAAGACCTTTCCGTGTTCTGCGATTGCCTTAAATGGATTAAAAGAGCGATGCGATTTAAGAACATCAGTAAATCGAGTTATCTCTAAACAAACCGTATCCGCTGGAATAAAAAGTTATTTAGAAGTTTGTGCGCCTAAGCTCAATGGTAGTGGTAATCGAAACGAGCACACAAACCATACCGAAGGAACGACTACGACGATGATGATGACGACGACGACGAACGAACAAGCATTACGATCATAATAATTGCGATTTTGTTCTGGGCCCGTGTGTCTAAACGAAAATATATTGGCAATATATGTTGTTTGCTTCGTAATCACTTTGCCCATTATTTATGGATTGTCTGCTTCACCTCCCGAAAAATACGTTTCGATATCTAGCACCAGAAGAAGTTACCAAGAAGAAGAAAAAGAATATCTATATGTACTGCGGGCTGTTTTCCGAGTTTACGATTTAATAGCGCGTTCTTTGTATATCGTTCACGGTACACGAATCAGCACAAAAGCAAAGCACAAAGCCACTACCAATCCAAAGCTCAACTCAAATGTAAGCGCATTTTATAACGTAAATCATAGAAAGTGCGTACTATGTCTAGTTCCAATCGATACAACGATGCGAAGAAGAAAAACGGCGACTCAGTAAATAGCGAAGTTTATTTGATTCGCGCATTAGATTTAGTTTGATGCTATACTTATTATGTTACTCTTTTATAACACACGATAACATTCTATATTGTCTTACCACATGCAAGTCGCAATTCTCAATCAAGTATCATATCAAACACAAGACACAAAAAATCCAAACTACTTTCAATATGGTTTAAGCAAGCACTTAGCTTTCAACGATAGAAATACACTTGGATCTAGTGTATGTATCATATATAGAGGTCGTGAATGTTTGTATTATGTCATAGAGATAGACACTCATTCCATTCTTAATGCGATTACAAAAGCAAAACTGCTTATCTGCTCTTACCGATTTACGATTTTCCGAGCGATTTTCACTTGCTCGCAGTAAATATTTTCAAATATTCAACGAACACAAGCACACATTGATACGCCAAATGTTTAGTCTGGCGTTGTCTAGCATTGCTGGATCCCTTTTTTCGTTTCTTTCTCCGCAAATACTATATTGATGATATACTCTATTTTGATTTTCAACGAATACGACGAATAATTTCCTAGAAGAGCTTCCGAAACCAACCGAATTATATTCACAACAAGTAGAGAGAAATGTGATGTGCGTGGATAATATTTAGAGCAAAAACATCTAATTTTCGCCGCATTTAATGTGATTCATTTCAACATACTCGAAATTACTCAAGATTAAAGCGATGAAACCTCTCAAAAGACTTCTAAATACTCTGGCAAATGAAATTATTTTTGTGCGCTGAAGTTGCACAGATTTCGCTTCAATATCAATCTCATGGCATCTTTGAATCAAACAATTTTCCCTAACAAGATATGCACCAAATGGTTTCTGTGAGCCAAAAGTGTAGTTTGTAAAGAAACATGTGAAAGAAAATTAAATCGAGATTAACAAGCGAGTTTTTTTTTCTTTCGTCTTCTAAAATATGTGAAGGTGAACGTAAAGTTTTTATTAATTTTGCATACTTAGAAAAAGTGAAAATAGAATATTAGCGGAGAGTGAGAGACAAAAGTTGAAAACAAAATGCCTTGAAAGTGTCAAGGGCTTGCAAAAAGCTCAGCAGATGTTGGATACGTTAATACGTTAATGAAATGTCGTTGTATTTTGATTGTGCACTCAAAACTTGCTAGCTGTTGTTGCAAAATAAATTCTATTTAACGGCTGCGTCATTTGTAGTTACCAAATTTATGCGAATAATAAGCTACTCTAATTCGAATACGTGGGAAATTGCGTGAATTTGGTTCGACGAAACTTTATGCTGCGTCGTATGATTTTTTGTACATGTGTGTGGATCTTCGAATGCGATGTAAAAGAAAAAGAATTTAACGCAAGAGTTTGTGTGTCAAGTTTTCACAATAAACATACGTGAATTTACACCTATTATAAGTTTAACACAAATCACATAATCCACCATCCGTGTGTGTGTGCTGCTCTTGTTAGCTGTGACACTTAACAGGCAGTGCTAGTCTGCAGAGGAAAAAAACGAACTTTTCGCTTAATCCAAAACTTCCCATGAAAACAAACAGTCGAATACAAATTATGTTGAACGTTGTACTTTGCTGGCGACACATTGGAACGAACACATATTTTACTTGAATCCTTTTGTTCGGCCCATCCATGGCATTGCTTCTTTCTTTCTCTCTGCATACAACATAAGCATAGTGCCCATATTCGTGAGCACCAAATGTCACCCAATATGAAATACGCGATCTTATTACTATTACATCCGAATAACAACTAGTACCTAAATGCAAATTATTTGTACCGCTGTTTTCTTGAGCAAAATACAAACTTGTTTGTTTTTTCTTTGCTTCTCCTTCACACCGTGTTGTTTCCAATGTTTTCACTTTGCAAAATGCAAAAGGTCCAATAAATACTCTGTTGAGATATGCAGATGTCGGTCGTGTAACCGACTCCGATACAGTTGTTCCTGACACTTTGCTCTCATTTTCATTCGTGTATTTCGTATTTTATTGTTTTACTTCGTTGATTCGAAGACTTTATTTTTTCTCACACGTGTTTGTGTTTATAAATGAAATGAAAAGAAAAAGGTTTGGCTAAATCGTTTCGCTCTTTGGTAGCAATACAAATGCATATAAAAACGGCCATTCATTGTTGATCGAAGACGATATAGATTAGAAAATTGCTTGGCTTAACGATGGATACATTCTCATTTTGGTTGTGTATGTGTGTGTGCGTATGGGTGTTTATGCGGTTGCAAGTATCTTTGGCATTCATAACGTAACATTTGTTTTGAAAATCGAATACTGTAATTCACGTTTAGTGTAACTCTCTCGCTCTTGGTCTTCTTCTCTCTTCCGACCTCTCGCACGTATTCTTGTATTGTCTCCACCTGAGCCGTAATTTTGGATACCAACCAATAAATTTGAGGCTATAAATTGTTTTTCGTTCAAATTCGGCTCTCATTTTCACGTCGCAGCACATTCTTTGCGAGAGAAAGACTCACAGAGAGAAAGAGAAAGGGAGAGAAAGAAGTGTAAGATAGAAAGCATTTTCAAATAAATGTTTCATTCCATTTTAATGTTCGTTGTTTCTTCGCTCACTGTATGCTACTGTATTCTTCGGTGCCATACCATCGGTATAAATTGTATTTTGTGTTTGTATGCATTGTGAAACGATACGCGTAATAAAGCAACCACATCACTTTCCTTTGCTTTTGAATTGCGATTGCACCCTGTGCGCACAGCATGCACATGCAACCGATTCATATAGACATATCACTTTGGTGCTTCGCTTATTGCAAATGTTACATAAACATAGATAAGCTACAAATTTCATTGCTTTTCTAATGCTCTATCCATATTTCACTTTAAATGGTCGTTTTTTTTCCAAAGCATAAAATGGTTTGTTGCCAATGTACAGCGCGGTGTGTGCATTTCTCGAGTATATTGACCTTAATTCACATTTAGTTGAGCCGAATGTTCGGCTTGAGCATGATCGATGATTAGAATATTTAATTGGAGCCGTGAATACGAGAAATGCTTTTTGTTTTTGGTCCAAATCCGTATGACAAACCTTTGAATCGACTTATGTGATCCCATCCCATCCAATTCAATCCGATC